AGGTGTGAAAGATCTGTAAGATGACACGAACCTTGACCAGAAAGGAGCTCAAACGCGGTTACAATACAAAGCAATCGATTCAGGATATCTGCCACGTTATCTGAAGTGTCCCAGTCCAGAGACTCAGAGTCGTCTTCGTCCGCAGCTTCACGGATGATGAGTCCCCGGAGAACCTGCATCAGGTCTTTGAAGAAGTCGACGTTAACGAGATGGGCGAACTTGGAAATACCCCTCAGGGCAGCTGGAAGGAGTGGTGTCGGATGGGGATTCTTGAGGATTCGGAAGTACAACACGAACAACAGCTTGAGAGTTTCGGTATGCTTTATCAAAGGATGTGAGTGGGCATGGAAATCGACCTTGTCCAATCACGCACCATCCTTGCCCGTTCCTCTTTGTCCACCTCCGCCTCTGCTTCGCGTACTTCTTTCTCTATTTCGTTCCTTTCCTTCAGCGCCTTCTTCGCCTTCTTGCTCATATGGGGCTGGTCGGTGGGTTTGCCTTTCGCACGACGGCTCGCAGCTCTTCCTTGAGAGTGCTTCTTCAGCTTCTCACCCTTGTCAGCCTTCGTGTCCGAAGCTCGTACGTTCAACTCGCTCTTAAGTCGTAAGTGAAGGAGACAACCGAGAACTTCCGGGTGGACCTTGAAATGCCGTTCCTTGATCATCCTGTTCAACAACTTCACAATTTCCAGTGACGGTACGCCTGTCAGGTCATTCCGGAATATGCTAATCAGGGTATTAAGACAAAGGTCCGATGACTAGGCTGATGCATCAGCATCAGGGCTCACGGAGTAACTTGGGGCGGGGGCCTACCTCATCCCAGCTTTTTTTGCTCAGACGGGCTACGATACATGACATGAGGTTGACTCGGAAGTTAAAGTGGGTGACCTCCGTGGCCAGCGTACACATGCACTTGAGTGCGATATCAGATAGCTCGTTCTTGGCTTAATCGAGATGAGGATGAGAGGCAGAGTGGATCGGGAGGAATTTTACCTTACCCTTCAGTGCATGCTCGAGAGCACGGAGATAAGTCTGATATACGACAAGGAGGCCTTGCTCCCATTCACGCGTATGAGCGACGATCTGGCTGACTTTCTCCGCCTTCTCTTTTTCTGTCAGCGCACGTATGCGGTAGCCAGGGATGATGTCCTTAAAAACTGCCAACTGGGACAGCATAGCCAATTTTCGAATCATGACGTCATTCGTAACGGGTTCGGGGTGTGCTGGTGACGTGATTTTCTCGAGGGAAAAAGTGTGTAATCGACGAAGAAGTCCGAGCTAAAGGAAAGGTATGAGCCGGGCGAACGCGGACAGAAAGTTATAAAACGAGCTTACGCTGTTTTCTGGGTCAGCGATGATCTCCTGACATATGCTAGCAATCTGCTCTTTCGCTCCGTGTATTCGTGCCGCACGCGATTTGTTGCCTACCACATCAACTACGGCGGGTCGGCCAAAACGTGCCCCGGTAGCTACGTCTTCAACGCGTTTGCCTTCGTCCGGGGGGACTTCAGTGGCACTGTCTTCGTCGTCGTCATTTTCGCTCTCTGATAGTGTAGGAGCCCTCGTCATCTTCCCGGTTGCTTGTATTCGGCCGTCTGAGAGCTTGATGGGTAACCCTTGTATATGTCGCGGAGCGTCCAATTCAACGGCGGCATCACGTCTTCTTGGTATGCGTTCGTAGGGCATCTCGACGTCCGAATCGGAAGCGAAATCTTGAAAATTCTGGCCCTCGTCCTCAAATTCCTCGACCGAATCAGACTCATCAACCACGGAATTTGAGGAATCCCCAGCGTTGTCGTCATCAGACAATATTGGCGGTAGATCGTCGTCCCTGTGCGTACGGATGGGTTTGTGTAACTGGTGCAGTCGCTCCGTTACTTTTTTGCTCCTAAGACAGGAATAAACGAGGTTGAGTTAGGAAGCTTGCGCGGAACTGCGTACCTTGCGATAGCTGTATGATCTAAAGAGCGCAGAAAACCAGCGGAGTCCCCGAATTCTTGTAAAATATCAGCATCAGCATCGGAAACGCCGCCATCCTCGGTATCGGCATCATCAACGGTGGGTATCGCAATCGTCTCTCTATCGCAAGCTCTTGCTTTGCCTTTTGCCGGTTGCAGCTTTTGCTTCTTCTTCAATGAATGCTACAAAACAAACACTTTGAGAGCTGGGTAACCAGCAGGACAATTACCTTACCGTTGGAGTTGGAGCAGCTCTTTTTTTCGATTTAGTACCCATGCCAGTTGTTCGCTCGTCGTGGGCAGGAAAACTGCTTATGACAATATCTAAAACAGGAAGGAGTTTCTCAACACTAGTGGAATGACAAAGCTCATATACCTTCCCCTTCCTCCCACCGCGTACTTCATTCACAGCCCTGAGCGCTTGAGCCTTTACAGTGCGATATGGACATAGCGTCTGCACTCACTTTCACCTACAACGCGTTTCAAGCCCTCGCTCGCTCTGCCTCCGTCATCGGCGTGGCCATTTCGCTGGTCACTGCATGGGCACTACGTACCGCAATCCGGGCGACTCAGAAGAGATCCAGAGCTACGGAACTGAGGGGACCAAAAAGTACGAGTTTGTTGTTCGGTGTAAGTAAAGAGCTGTTCGAATCGCCTGATACGGGGGCGATATTCGAGGCATGGTCCAAGGAGTACGGTGTGGCGTATGAAATTCCGATGATCTATGGACAAAAGAGGATCATACTCTGCGACCCGAAAGCAGTAGCATATTTTTTCTCTAGAGATACACGGTCGTACGTGGGCACCCCAGGTCACAAAGCGTCCGTTGTACGAACTGTGCGTTACGTTCGGAGGATTTGTATGCTTCCACGGTTCCTCATTCCAGAATCCGTAGATAGGAAAGGGACTACTGTGGGCTGAAGGCGAGTCACACCGAAGGTATGATATTTCCCGGGTTAAAGCTTCATCGTATGCCTATGCTGGGTTACGATACATCTAGGCAGCGAAGATCTATAGCGCCCTCATTCAATTCAGCTGCCATTCGAAAGTTAAGCCCTGCAATTTATAAAACCGTCGAAAAGGTAAGTAGACGCAACTATGTCTATCGTAATCAAGTTCTTAGAGAGTTTTCCGGCAGCTGAAGGCAGCTTGGGAAGCAAAGATGGACGCAAGCGGCAGCGAGAGTGTCGTCCTTGATGTTCACAAATGGTACGTTATAAAGAGCATACTCGAAACCGTTCAGGTGTCTTAAATCTGCTACAGGATGAGCTACGTGTCGTACGTTCGTTTCCTGCAGCATTCAGAAGACTTCTAATTCTATTCAGCCTTGATTCTTTTGGGATTGCAGGTTTTTCCTACGACTTTGGTTCTCTTGATGGGAAACCAAATTCCATGATCTCGGTGCTCGATGCTTTCGGAGCACCTTCCACCCCGAACATCTGGGATAACTTCGTCCACCTCCTTTCCCTCTTTTTCCCTATTGTTTTGAATGTGCCAACCTCACGGGGTAAGATGGTTGCCAAGCTCAGCGCGCGAATGTCAGAGATGTGTGACGTATTAATCGATACCACCACAAAGGAAAGGGATAGAGGGTCAAATGAACAAGGCTCCACCATCGGTTTGCTACGTACGCTACTGGGGCCCTGTACTCGTATGTCACTGATTGATGTGTCGATCAGTGAAGGCAGAAGACGAAGATTCGGGCCAACGTCTCACTCGAGAGGAAATCTTGGCGCAGGCGAGACAATAGTGATTTTTTTGGACAGTGTCAACCCTCTCAACCTGCTCCCAAACAGATACGCGTATTATTGATCGCGTCATATGAGACCACAGCAAGTACGTACCGGAGCAGTGGTGTAATTTGTCCTGTAATAACTAAATCGTCACTTCTAGTCACCATGACGTGGGCATTGCTCGAACTCGCGCAGCACCCGGATATTCAGACTAAACTTCGCGAAGAACTTTCGTCTTTCGGAGGAGAAATTTCATATGATCAACTCACTACTGGTCTCCCTTATCTCGATGCCGTAGTGCAGGAGACTCTTCGTGTTCACCCAGCTGCACAAGATCGGGTACGCCAAGTACGTGGACACATTCCCATTCCGTATTTGGCTTGATTCCTGTCTTTCTAGGCAAATGACGACGACATTATTCCTTTATCAGAACCTGTGCAAACCAAGTCCGGTGAAGTAGTTGATAGCATAGCTGTCGAACGCGGGACTGTAATTGGTATATCCATACCTTGCATTAACCGCTCTGAGGCGATCTGGGGTCCGGACGCTAAAGTGTTTCGACCTGAACGATGGTTAGAAGCAGATGGCCTAACGCAGAAAGCTCAGGAGGTAAAGGGTTACCGGCACCTACTCACGTTCAGTGATGGCCCGAGGACCTGTATTGGAAAATTGTTTGCCATTGCTGAGGTCAAGGTATGGATTTATTTTTCAGGGTGTGGTGCTCACCAAGGGACAATTGGACTTTGCAGATGGTACTTGCGGTGGTGGTCAAGAACTTTGTGCTTGATATGAGGGACGGACTGGATACAAAAATTGAGATGTCCAAGGGGATTAAATTGAGGCCCAAGATTGCAGGAGAAGACGGCATCAAGGTACCACTGAAGCTTAGGCAATTCAGAGGCTGAATGTGTTTTTACTCAACCTGGTAGCGTCTGCTCGTCTTTGCCTCAGTACGTGCATTAATTTTGATGTGCTACATGACCTCTTAATATAGCACCCCACCAAGATCGTCGTGCTTGCTGGCGCAGTGTTTCATTGCCTCGAGACAAATACTATCCAAGCGGAAGTCCACTCACGTTCTTTGATAATAGAACGAATTTGACGTCGATGGTTCTGGGATGGTGGTATCCGGTCTAATGACTTTGTTTCACGCGACTTCGGAATTATGAACTGCGAAAGCGCTCACGCGGTCCTAGTTACCCAGATGTTGTACAGCACTAGATTCCTGCATGACTTGATGCTCTGGAACGCATTCCGCCAGTAACACGCAGGGAGGGAAAGCTATTTAGAAGGTTATAGCATAAAATGAATGCCTCAAGCAAGGCTCGAACTTGCGACCTCAGGATTACCTGGAAATTACGTTCCAGTCGTACTCAACGTATGAGACCTGCGCTCTAGCCAACTGAGCCATTGAGGCGATAGCGCAGTGGCAGTCAAGGAGCTACATATGTCAATCAGTAGTCAGGCCTCCCATAGACCAGAAACAAAAAATGTGAAGTCAAATAAGGGCACGATACGAAATACATACTTAGACAATGACACGAGTAGATTCAATGGAAGGGGAAGGTACGAGGGTGCTGCCGAGTAGCTCATCCTTCGTACCGCTTCACGCGCAGTGGTAACCTGGCACCCTGTTCACCAGCCACCTTCGGCCGCACCGACAATGCTCTTCCCATCTCTATCACCGTGTTTGGGCCATCCCTCATTTCAAACACATAGTTCTTCACCAACACCGATAAAACCACCTGGATTTGGATGGTTAGAACCCGTTTCATCGCTACACAGACACCGAATAGCAGGTATACCTTGAACATCGTCAAGGCGATTCCTTTACCGATGCACATCCGTGGTCCATCCCCAAAAGATAACAAGTGCCGATGTCCTTGGACTTCCTGCGCCTTTTTCGCGATGCCATCTTTCTCGATCCACCTTTTGGGCCTAAATTCCTTCGCGTGTACTCCCCAAATCGCAGCGGAACGGTTGATGGATGGGGCTGATATACCGACAAGAGTGCCAGCTGCAACGCGTATACTGTCGACGACCTCACCCGTCTTGGTGTGCACTGGTTCTGAAAGAGGGATCACGTCGTCTTCCTCTGCCTATGTAGGTAAGTGAGAAGAAAAAAAACCAGTGAACAACTAAGGTGTTGCGCACGATACGTTCGAAATCCGGTATAGATGAATGAAGGCGCAACGTCTCGTGTGCAACGGCATCCAGGTATGGAAGACCTTTATTCAGCTGTTCGTAAGTCGGATCGCCATGACAATCTATGAGTTCCTCTCGTAATGTTGCTTGGACCTCTGGGTTCCGAGCAAGCTCTACTAATGCCCAGACCAAATTGACTACACGAAGAGACGATAAGGTAGCGTTTCTAGCGGATCAGCGCTTACACTCACCTGCACTACTTTCGTAGGCAGCAATGAGTAATGCTTTCATCTTCGCGTAGATAACATCTTTACTTCGAGCATTGAGGTCCGCGGTTAGATGCTTACCTGGGCCACAGCCTCCTCCCGAGTGGCATAGAACGCAGTGTCTGCTCTCTCAGCCTGAACTGCGAACCACCAAGGTCAACCTAGATCTGCAGATAACACTGAGCACATACCCAACACTTCAATTATCGACTTTTCCCTCCCATCCAATGCACCTGCCTCCTTCTCTTTCTTCGTTTTATCCAGCATATCGTTGCAAACGTCTACCATCGCGTAGTGGAGTTCTCTCACCAATTTCATTCGAGGTGAGGGAATATACACCAAGATAGGGAAGACCTGCAAGAGGAGAAACACTCCAGAACTCATATCATTACGTTTGGACGAGTCCTGAAACGCTTCGAAAACGCGCGTCACTGAAGCCTTTTTGCCATCGAGAGCACCAAAGTCATGAGAGAAACCTGCCAGTCCGACGGAATCGAGCCTAGCAGACGTTGGACCAGAACCATGATCAAGCGATCGTACATTTCATTGAGCAAGCCGCATAACGTACGAAAGATGATTCATCCTTCATGTCTATCCGTCACTATCCTCGTTGTCGATATTGATATACTTGACGTACCACTGGGAAACATCTATGACAGCACCATCCTCCCCGTTCGCACCAATTATCCCATCCCACGCGGCCTTCACCTGATGCATGAAATTTTGACTATAAATAACAGCAAGACCATAAAGAATTCACAGACCTTATAAACACAATCGTAAAAGACAGGGGTCAGTTTCCCGATGGATGCATAAGTAAATGCCGGTGACATGGACCTCCGCTGCCTAAATCATAGTGGGTAAGTAAGAGAAAGTAATGAGAGTTACGTTCAGAAACTCTAATTATACATACCTTCGGTGGTTTTCACCCATGGCCCAGAGTATTCCTTTTCCGACCTAGGTAACTCGCCATCAACCAAATGGTCAAAAATATCTGGATGCCACGTACACTACGCTCGAGAGTGACTTTATCCAATGCCGTATGACCATAAGTCCGCGTATCTCCTGCAAAAAAATGCGCAACAGCCTTGGGATCGCATAGAATGACTTTCTTCTTCCCAAGCGCGAGAGGGACCTCATACACGACGCCATACTCTTGGGACCATGCTTCGTAAACATCTCCTGGTTCGGGTGAGTCAAGGACATCCTTCCCCGCGCCAAATATGAAACTTGAGGGAGGCGGTCCTCTGAGCTTTGTCGTCTTAAATCTCCTCCTGGTTTCACGAACAGCAGCATGAGAGGCGAAGATGCCAGCCAAAAAAACAGCTGAGACGACCGGATTGAGGGAGTGAAGAATAGCCGCGAGGCGGAGTACGATAGATGTCGTGTTCATGGTCACACACGAAGGGAACCACTGGAGTAGGACTGTAACAGGGAGAGTTATAAGTCTGACAACAACGCAAGAAAGGTATTTCCAAAGTTCCCAGTGGCTATCAGGTCATCGATCGGCATCAATGCTTAGATGGTACTTCCTATGATGGGGTCTACAACAAGTGAAATGTGCCAGCTCAAAGATGGGTTTACTACCGGCATCTTCCTTTCTTTGATCAGTGTAGTTCCACACCTTCACAATTTCACTACTAACCTTTCAACTTTACACCTCGCGCATGCATCGTGTAAGACGCCATTCAGAGACTTTTCGTATACAGCAGCACCGGGTGTACACAAAACTTCAGACAGATAGATTTCCCGTCAACGATCTTGTTAGCCTCACACTCCATGCCAACTGTCACCACTGGCGCCGTGGGAGACTGGTTCCATGGACCAACTATATATCGCCAGCACAATTCAGATGATGCTTCCCACTGCACCATGGTCGAGTGGCATACTTGCCGTGTTTCCCACCATGGGAAATCCAATTCTCCATGGCAAAGGCTAAGGGGGTGTACCAGGATCGTAGCGCCGTGGACACGAAGACGCATCTACCAAATGACGTGGGCATCGTAGAAGGCACCCAAGCTCGGCCTGTGGACAACAGTAAGCTTGCTGAAATATGCGCCACACGTACTTCGTCGTGCCGGCCATCAAGGTCAAAGTTAAAGTGTGCAGGGCTGGCGCGCAAACATGAGGTTCCGCAGTGGCCATCACCAAACTTGCCCATAACATTGAAACCGCTACTGTGTGATGGTAGATATGGGACAGGCGGGCGCGCCGATCAATTTGGCTGTGCGTCATTGTCGCACACACCAGCTAGGCTAGCTAAGTACTAGCTAGTACTAGTAGGGCTTGCACACCTTGGCGGCCCGTGGCGTGATTACATAATAATGACGAGAGAGAGAGAGATTCTATATTTATATACCACAGCAAGTAGACTAATAATACTACTAAGACGCGCATAATAATGACACAGTGGCGGTTTCAATGTTTTCACACACTCTAAAGAGTATTTAAAAGTGAAAACACAATGTTTTATTATGATTCAAATAAACGGGCTCTCGCAAGATTTTATTCTGAGAAGATTTATAATTTTTATTACCAGTCTATATTGGGAGAAACATTAGATATTGATCCAAAGACAATTGAAAATTATATATTGCATGAATGTCATAAGGTTATTGACAATAATATCTGCCCAATATGCTTTAGAGCATGAGAAAATATTGAACCCTCGCTCGTCATTGGCTGCTTCAATATTTTCTCACACTCTAAAGAGTATTGGGCAGATATTATTGTCAATAACCTTATGACATTCACACAATATATAATTCTCAATTGTCTTTGGATGGATATATAATGTTTCTCCCGATATAGACTGGTAATAAAAATTCTAAATGTTCTCGGAATAAAATCTTGTGAGAGCGTGGTAATTTGAACCATAATAAAACATGTCATTTTCGCTTTTGAGTACTCTTTAGAGCGTGTGAAAACATTGAAGCCGCCACTGTGTGATTGACCTGTGTCACTACTGTTCCATGATCGATTCCCTCGCCGCCACTAGCAGCACATTCTCTGGCACTGTTTTGCTGATCGGCCACGCTGCGGCCAACCACAGTGATATGTAAAACTCATAAAATCCGACTTGCTGGTGCTGTGGTACGTAGTGAGCTCTTATCAGTCTTCGGACTCGCCGCTGCTGTTCAAGACATGCGCGTCCTGCGCTTCCTACTAGCATTTTCCCCTGTGGTCGCTGCTCAGTTCATTCCCGGGGGTAGCATAGGTCGTCCTATGACCAATGCTGGACCTTACAATAATTGCTCTGGCACAGTCACTCAGCTCCCCACGGACGTTGCTTTCGATACGCTCCCTAACATAAGTCCAGACGCCCCGAGTGGCTGGGAACGATGGGACCTAACTATTTATCAGTCAGACATCTTCCTTAATTTGCGTTGGTTACAGGGGGACCCTTCCTCCTATAATTCTGTACCAGCTGATGGCTCGTTTGAGCTCTCCGCTCAATTCGCGAACGGAACGACCTTCCACACACGCATCACTGGAGAGAAACTCACCTATATCAATTCTTCCACGTATTCCATTTCGATCGGACAAAATACCCTCACGTGGGATGACAGTCAGACTTGGTTCAACACCACGCTCAACCTGAATGGGTTAACTGGTTCGTTCGGAACTGAGTCGTGCGTGGATCCATCTACATGTACCATATCTTCGCGAGGCTTACTTGTTGTCATATAGCATTATGCTGGACAAGTTTTCCCCATATACGGGTTGGATCATTGGCCAGTTGACCGAAGGTCTCTTCTGCAGTATGCCGGTGACGCGTGGCAACACGTAGGGAACTCTTGTTTACTCTTACCACCTTACTGATTATCATCTCAGTCGTGTTGGTTCCATACTGTTCCCATCTGGGCAGGAAGTGACGCTCACCGCTCAGTCCATGTTGTTACACATGTTGGCCGAGCAACCCATTCAATCACTTGCTGTTAACTACGCCATACGCACCTTCTGGTCGACAGGAACGGCCTTCGACGATACGTTCATTTACGAGAGC